GCCGCTTGTTTACCTTCAAGCTTTTAAGACGCCAGATGCTATATCTTTTGATAGCCGGGCACCATCAGCTTTCTTCATCACATTTGTTTATTCACCCGCTTGTACACATGATTATTTTCAATAAACATTTAAATTGACCATAGTCTTACGAGTTTATTTCTTGAAAGTTCATATGATGTTCCTTCTGACACCAATTTAATTCATAATTTTAATTTACCATTAAGTCTCTAGCACTTATGACTGCAATGTGTACAATTAGCTCAAGGCTGTTGTGGCAGCAATTCAATGTAGTCTTTAGGGTATGGACTCTTGAAACCAAACCTCCTAGATTCAAATCTGGACTCAAACTCTCATCATTTCTATGACCTTGAGCAAGTTAGCCATTTCACTATGGCTTATTTTCCTCATCTACAAAATGGTGATAATAATTCTGCCTCCATTGTGGTGAGGAGAGGTTTTAAGGATATATATATGTCAGGTACTTTGGTCGGTGAGTAATACATCATGAGTAATATATAATGCATTAACAAATTAGATCATTCTACTTTTGGATGCACATTTATTGAGGGTATCTTTTTATAAAATGATACCTATTGTGAATGTCCTTAATCTATTCATCCTTGACATTTATGAATAGGAGAACAAATTATAACAGTTATCATGGTGAAATTGAAAGACTCCCATGCTGGAGTTCTTGGGTTCTGTTTCTGTCTCTATTATTAACTTGCATAACCATTTAATATTTAAAGGTTTCAAGCCTCTTCTGTTCTTTGTAAAGAGTAAAGATTTTAGACTCAGTGAAACTCCTGATGCCATGACTCTGTGGAATTCTTTGCTATTGTCTAGTATCACTAAAAGCAGACTCTTATCTTCCCAGGTATTATAACAGCGTATGGACTATATCTAGATGGCGTATTAATTCACAACTCCTCAGAACTCAGCTGTCATGCACATGGATTTGCTCCGGGGAGCTTACATTCCTTCAGAGTCCAGGCATGCACCGCTAAAGGTTGCACAATGGGTCCAGTGGTGAGTATGTGAACTTGCATCTTGGGGAGGTGTCAGATGTCAGATGACGGTAAATGTCAAGGAAGGAGTAAGTGCAGGTGACACACTGAGTACACCTTACCTTTCTTTCAGGCAGGACAGAAGACTTTCTTTTTATAAAGTTTCATTTAAGTGTTACAAATATTTTATATCTAACATCAATTTCAAGATTGCACATGGTCTGATAAAGGGCAGAATATACATTTTATTGAGCGAACAGTAAATTGGCAGTCTTAACAGACACAGATAAAATGCTGGCCAATAAAAGGGGATGTTTCTCTCAATAATGTATCCAGCAACTAAATAAGCTTATAATTAAAAGTGAAAAATAATTAAAAATCCATAACTGTTACAATATTGCAGCATAACACTGAACACTACTCCCTCCAAAAATAAGTTAATTGATTGAAAAGTAGATTTTATTTCAAGTGTCATACCTCTTTAAAGTGATAAAAAGAAGCAAAGATTTCACTTTGAGGATAAGATGAGTCTGGCCCAAGCTACTAATATTTCCAACGGCCTCATATGCATGTTGATGCATTTGAATGGAGTTGATGAACAATACTGATTATACTATAGACTTCCCAGAACAAACACATCTGCTTTGGAAGAAGTATAAACAAAATAAGATGCCCAAGAGTTTACACCAGCTGCTAACCACAGGGTTAGCAATTCGAACCCACCAGCCGCTCCTCAGGATAAAGGTACTGCTACTACTCCTGCAAAGATTTTTCAAAGTATTCAAAAGCCAAAGGAACAACTCTATCCTGTCCTTTAAGGTTGCTATGACTAGTAATCAGCTTGATGGCAGTGATTTGTTAGGGTTTTAAAGATTTTATAACCAGAATAGTATCCAGAACAGAGGATGGTGAGACACTATCTCATGGATTTTGGACATGCTCTCCGGGGATCAGTCCCTGGAAGAGGGAATCATGCTTGGTAAGGCAGAGGCTAAGCCTAAAAGGGGAAACGCTTCCATGAGATGGGTTGGCACAATGGCTCTTTGACCAGGAGGCTACTCAGATGGTGAACCTCATTGCTTGGCTCTTGTTCGGCTGTCAAGAAATCATTCAGATAAGGGACAGCCTGCAGAACAACCTCAGAGAAACTGTTTGGAAGGTGGAATGGGTGAGTTCATTGAGGACGCACTTTCGTGCTGAACACCATAAGGCCCCCAGCTAATCTGAAAGCATAGAAAAAAATGAAGAGCTTGGGATTTATTCTGCTCATGGCTGACCTTCCACCATTGGCTGGCTTTCTGGCGAGGCTTTGCCGTCAGCTGGCTTTCTGTAGGGTGCCTGACCTTCTCAGGGATGTGCACTCCTGTGCCCTAGAGTCCCTGCTCTTTCCTTGTCACCAGGTCCATTCAGCCTTTGTTGGGTAGTGTGAACATACTGTCTTTCCCAGCCACACCTTTTTCACTATCTCCCATCTCTTCCATTGATAAGGAAAGGTCTTAACTGCCTTTCACCTTTCTTTGTGCTGCGGAGGCATGGATGGGGGATATGTCTGGATGTCCCTTTATGTTAGGATTCCTTTCACTGTCACCCTTCTACCCATTTGCCCAGTTCTATCTAACAGGGAGCCCTGGAGGCGTAGCAGTTACACATTGGCTGCTAACTGCACGATCAGCAGTTCGAAACCACCAGCCATTCCATGGGAGAAAGACGAGGCTTTCCATGCCCATAAAGAGTTACGGTCTCTGAAACCTACAAGGGCAGTTCTACCCTGCCCTATGAGTCACCACCTGTGAGTAAGAATCAACTTGATGGTACTGAGTTCGAGGCTTCACTCTGGTTAAGAGTTGCAACAATGGAATCAAACAGGGAAAATTGTGAAAAGCATTCAGGACTGGTCAATATTTTGTTCTATTTTATACAGGGTCCTTAAGAATTGGACCCAATATGATATATCTAACAGCACAATATTAAATTTATTTTTTAATTTCATTTGGCTGCCATAGTCTTCTAAAAACAGTATTAAAAATTATATTGATATCAATTTTGATATCCAGTTTCAGAAATCTGTCATTTGTGTCTGCAATTCACTAGTATTTAAAAACTTTAAAAATTCTGCTTTTTAGTTTTAATGTAACTTTCAAAATCCAATTAATAGTACATCATTTTCCTAGACTAACAATACATGCTTTCATTTTCAGACTGTACATTTGACTTTTTTTTCTTGATTAAATACATGTAACGTCTTTTAAAGGGAATACTCATTATTTTTAGATACTTTTGGCAAGATTTGCTAATGTGCTACCATTTCCTGCACTGTCTTCATTGAAGAGTGTATTACATAGCTATTATCTTGAATAGCAGCTCTGATTCTTAAAATTTTGGCTTCCTTTTTGTTGCGCACACCTCCCACTTTATTTCCCAGATTGGTTGCTTTCCAAGCTGCTAACATCCTCTGTCGGTAGACCTGCGCTATAGTCTTTACTGCCATTAAGCCTTTGAGAGTCAGGACCCTCTGATGGATACTTACTCTTAAAAGCAGGGATGGCTTCTGGCCAGCTCTCCTTTCCCATTCAAGAACAGGAGAGAAAGAAGGAAGCCAAAGAATCCCTCACATAGGGTGGAAGCTTAGACTTTTTTCCCCTGTAAGAATATGAATGGAAAATTGGGATTCTAACTCCAAATGGATTTCCACACCATCCCCTGAGGATCTGACACTTCAAACCAGGGAGGGTTTTGTTGTTGTTGTTGTTATCTTGTTTTCCGTCTGCATCTTGCACCGGTAGTAAGTGGGCTTCACCCACTGAAAAAGAGAAAACCAGACTAGAGATTGCCAAACCAACTCTACCACCTCTTTAGAGATTCTCTTCTCTGTCCTGACTGAAAGCACAGTTTCCCTCTCTCTTGGGCACTTTTCTTTAGCCTGCACTCAGGATACAAACACTTTTCCCAAGTCAATGATCCAGCTCGAATCACTGGCATTTAACAACAAAGTCTTTATTTCGAGCAAATTGGCTATCTGCTGCCAAGAAGCTGAAACCCCTGTTTGTCATTCAGCCTCTGAAATAATTTTGTTTCAGTATCAATTACAATAAATACTATGCCCCGCCCCAAGATTGCCCATCCAAGTATTCTAAAGAGCCGTGGATCTCTATCACAACTGTCAAAGAGACCGTAGACATAGCTATTCCCACTGCCCCTCCCTGGTGACTTTTCAAAATATGTTCTTAATGACTTTTCAAATATTTTAATCTATCTGAAAAGCCACGGTTTCTCATCATGAATTGTATGTGCTATTCAAGAAAATTCAATTAAATGCAGCATTGCTGTATATATGTCTTAAAGGTTATGATGTTTTTTGGTAAAGCTCAGTGTTGCTACATCCTTTTTCTTTTCATCGAAGGAACAGCAAAGAACATTTATGTTTTCATTTTAAAACTCTTGATGGAAGTAATAAAAAGTTAAATTCTCGAGTCAATTTTTTCTTCATATAATATTGTTCAATAATAAGTCTTGGCTTTTAGAGAAAAATATTAGTTATATGTGGTTTGATTGTTTTTACATCACTTACATGTTTAAGACGACTGTTATTCATGTATGCGGGAAGTATTATTGGATATTTCCTATGAAAAATGTACTCTAGAGATTGGTGGGTGGTATGGTATACCTTTAAAATTAGCTCAGACAGCCAAAGGAGACAAAGGGAAAGGAAAGAAGAAGATTTGGGCAAAATAGAATATTTTTAGTAAAAATTCAAAAATTCCAAAATAAATAAAATTCACGTGTTGTGAAAATAATAATCAGGTGGGTTTTGTGTGTGTGATTTGTAGTTCTGAAGAATTCGAGCTGGGTCACTGACTCGGGAAAAGCGTTTGTGCTCTGACGGCAGGTAAAGAAAAGGAACTGCTGCCTCTGCCTTAGAGAAGATTCCATTGCGGCTGGTTCATTAAACAATGGGTTTGACGGTTAAAGAACGGTGACATATAAAACAATTTGCAGATGCCCCTGGATTCTAATCTTAAGATGCTAATATGATTTGTCAAATTAGGTGATTGGGTTTTTTAATTCTTGAAATAATGGATAAATGGTTAGAACATACAACAGCACATACTTTTTTTTTGAATACTTCCTTTGCTTTCTGTTACTTTGGAAAGAAACCTGTCCCTATTGTGTTTCTAAAATTAACGTGCCCATAAGCAAATCATGACTTTTTTCTTACATAGCCAGTGTTGGAGAATACTGGGAGGGTCTGGGTCTGGGGAATTTTATGGCTGTGTCTGGGCTTCGAACATTCATTGCATCCAAGTCTCCTGGGTCCTCTTAAGAATGAAGTTGGAAACTATAGGTCACTGCTATGTGATACGGTTAGAAAGACATCTTTATATCTTTGTAACTGGCATGTTGAAGCAGATAAAAACACATGCATACACACACACATCTCATTGTCTTCACACTTTTACAGGCTAACACATACATTTGGCATGTTAAGATGCCTACATTTTCATTGCAGATTGTGCTATGATAGAGGGAAGCGTGTGTAGGAAATCTGCCCTGAGCCTGCTATCACCCTCCTTGCTTCTTTGGGTAGTGTGCTTATTTTGCCCAGGCTTGTTTTCTGAAAGAAAACTGAAAATGCAAATTGAAGAGAATTCCTACCTTAAGAGTGTGAGGTGAGAAATTAAATGAAATATTATTTTAAAGGAGTTTCTGGCATACAGTCAGCGATTTATTAAGATCCAAGTTTTATGGGACTCAATAAATCACAATCTATTCTTATTTACAATATTCCATAGAAAGGAAAATTTACAGGTAAAGCAAGTTAACTTTTACCTTCACAGAGCCTTTTCCTTAACTGTCTGCCTTTGGAAATATAAGTCTAAACAGTTGAAATTAGGGTCGGTGGTTGGGGAAAGACTGGGAATAGAGACAATACCATGTCAAATGCATGTTATATGCAAACACAGATGAAATAAAACTGGATATTTGTGCTTTGGGTCTCTTATTGACTGAAGCTTATATTCATACATTTGAAAACAGCCTTTTATTAAATAAATAAAGGAATTACAGTATACACAGAAACTCATGATCATAGTGTATGAGCAAAAGGTGATTCATCCAATTTTAATACTTGGTGTCAAAGTTTAAAAGAGTCATAAATATATTGTTCTACTCTAACCAAAGTTTAATTCTATATTTATAAAGTAGAAGGGGGAAGGCTTATCTAGCTACCTAAGGAAAAATTTAAATATATTTATCTTGAATTAACCAGGTATTAGAGAATGAAATATAGGAATATTGAATTATCTGGAATTGCCTTTACTTCTTTACTTAAACTTTTCACTCTTGTGCCATTTGGAGTCTTTAAAACAACTCTTTGTAGAGTAATTTTAACTAAATAATTAGATCTATAAAGCTAATTGCATCACTATTGAAATATTAAAATGATGAACTAATGTTTTTCCAATTAAGTCTATCATTTATCCATGATTATTAAACTAAAAAATAGTGTAGGAGTTATGCACCTAAAGACTTCAATAGCCTTTCTCAGTTGAGATAAAGCATAGCATAACCTTATAGTTAGCAAAATTAACTGTCTTTTTCACAATAATGATCATATTTAGGAAAGTATTTTGAACATTACAAATAAAGGATTAACAATATAGAGTGTGTCCCGGCTTAAGGATGTTATATGTCATCTTCTTCTGAGGCATGAGCCTGCACTTCAAGAAGACGGTCAAAATTATCAATATATTCAATAACCATTAAGTGGTCAATCATTTATGAATAATGCCTATGAGTAATGAATTAACTGAGTTTAAGCGAGTGATTAAAAGAGAGTAAAATTTCCTGAAGACCTTTCTGCCTTCTTGCCAACTTCACCGTCCTCTAGTCACAAGACATTTATTTATTTAGCTTTCAGCTTCTCTCTGGCCACTGTGCAATTAGGGATGACAGTTTATTTCAGAACTGTTCCCTTCAGATATACATATAGATATATATGATTTCATGATAGGTTCATATTGATGAAGCTTTTTAACTTTTAAAATTGATTATATCTTGGGAGGAAACAAGCCAGCCATTCTTATTTCTTGATGTCTGGCAAGATGACAGCTTTACAGGCTTCCACAAGGCAACTGAGAGAGCTGTCTGAACGGGTAGATGTCTTGAAATGCTTGGAGTGGCCTTGAGCCAAGCCCAGCAGTCTGTCCGTCCAGGCACACACGGATGAAAACAGCCCTGCTGTATTCCTTCTCTTTTGAGATCATATAGAAATTACTCTTAAGCAGCCCTAAAGGTGGCTGATGGCTATGCCTCACCGTCGGGACAATCGCAGCGTGAGCTGATACACATTTGCTGGAAATCACAACTAGCTGCCTTGGTCGTGAGCTCGAACTTTAAGCGTAACAGCGGGAGGAAGAAAGCACGAGGTATGCTTTGATCCCGCTGACAAAATGAGGTATTCATACAAGACGCTACTGTCAAACTAGTTTACTTCACAGCAAAGAGAGATGCTTTGAAGAAATATGCTCCAAGTGCAGCATATACTGACTTTATTTGCAAACAAAAATAGCTCGTTCTTCATACTTGCAGGTGGGAAATCGCACTCTGGAAGCCCCTCCGGAAGGAACAGTCAACGTGTTTGTCAAAAGAGAGGGATCCCGAGAAGTCCATGTGAAGTGGGAAGCCCCTTTGTCCCCTAATGGATGCATAACATATTCAGTCCTCTTTTCTGGAATTTTCTACGCAGCTCAAGGTAATTTGGTTGTATTATTAAAATGTTAAATAACATTAGAAAACAATTTATTTTGTTTTGAAAGTTGTTTTTAGCCACAGACTTCCATTTTTTGAAATCTTCCCTAAAAAAGAATCTCTGTGGAAGAGCTACTGCCTCGGCTCTCCAAGTGTGGTCTGCGGACTGGAAGCAGGAGGCTCATCTGGGTAACGTTCAGGTCCTCTCCAGACCGACTGAATCAGGAACCCGTGGGGTGGCTCCATCCTCCTGTGGGATTCTGGTGGCCCTCCACTTTGAGAATGGCTAATCTAGTGTATATTCAGTATCTTTCCCCCCTTGACTTAAGATGCTTAGAGTTGGTGCAAATGTATTCATTCTGTTGTTATTCCAAAGGCTGCAAGTTTGAGTCCCCACAGAGGTACTTCAGAAGACCTGGTAATCTGTAAGCTGTCCCAGTTTACAAACATCTGATTTACCTGCAACCTGTACTTATGAACCAGGGCTTTGAAATGAATCAAATCAGTTCAGTCATGGCTAATGAAGGGAACTGGAATGGAATCTAACATTTAACATTTGCATGATCCAGAATAGGAACTTTTACAGTTGAAGCCCTAAAACGGCAGATTCAGAAGAAGCAGAATAATCTATCTCTTTCAAGAGAGTGATGCACGAGATTGAATGACTGGCAGGTCAGGAGAGTAACACACACTCTGAGCATGATCGGCCGGCATCTTTAGTAGGTACCACAGTTTCTAACTTCTCTCCAAATTCGAAAGGTAGGAGATGTGGTTGCCATGTAATGGGTAAGCTGCCCTTGATGTCTAAGAGAAACGTTAACTTTCTAGCAAGACTCCAACTCATATCTATATATTTTCAATTCTGCTTATCATCTGTTCCCCCAAATTTTAAAACCTCAGGCCTGTTCTTGTTTGGCTTCCTCAGTGACAGCGGAACCAAGGAGAACTGGTTGGATACTCTGTTAGGAACCAGCCCCTGTTTGTGTGTGTGTGTGTGTGTGTGTGTGTGTGTGTGTAACTGTTGGTGCAGACATTATTTCATAATAACACACATGGTTTTTGTGACATGCATCAAGCCATTATTATTGTAATTCTTACTATATAATTATGTTAAGGATGCTTTAGTGTGTTCCTGGTGTTTTGTATGCTTAGAAATGTACATTAACTACTGACAGGAGCATTTAACTAATTGTACATGGTACTGACTTTTGTAAAAATTAGACTTAATGACAGATTTAGAAATGGAACTCATTTGTAATCTGGGGGGTGGTTCTACTTCTGAAAATTCACCCATTGAAAACTGGAGTACAGTTCTACTTTGAAGCACATGGAGTCCTCGTGCATCAGAATCAACTTGGCTTGATTTATATTTTTTAAATAATAAGTTTAAAATGGAAAACACTGTTTATGCAAAAAAAATGAGCCTAAATGCTGCCTTCTATATTAAATTGAGTTACTTATTCTCACCGTCTTAATATTTTTAAACTAAATTGACAATGCTAGTGTGTGTTTGAGGAAATGGTGTAGGGATTATGTTTGACTTTTCCTGACTACACAAGGGAGAAGAAAAATCCAACTCTATATTTGTGCAAGGATGTTTCTTAGGAGGCAGAACGAAACAGGTCTCCAGCCTCCATCATTCTTTTCCTCCCACAGCACTCACATCTCTGCTGGATTTGATAATACATGGCATTGACCACTCAGAGCTCACAGACAATACTCACAACAGTGGGTGTTTATTAGCAAAGGGAACAGGTCACACAAGTCAGCATGAGAAAACACTAAGGATAAGTTCTACTGTTTATAGCAGGGTCTTTTCTCAGCCATGGTGACAGGCATTTCTGGTTCTCAGCCATAGCCACAACAGTCCCATGACCTGTGCCCGTGGGCAAGTTATTCAAAGCTCTGTTAGTGCTGATCAATGTCCAAAGGGCACCCAACTCGACTAGCCAGGCTCCTCTCCAAAGGCATTCAGCTTGATTCATGGGCCAGGAAGCCTAACGCTGTCTCTTGGTCTCTACCACCACCTGGTCCTTGCTGCTACTCCCATGTGCGGGGTGAATGTGGTTCCTCCTTCTGCTGGTCATTGGACTCCTTGCTCCTGCCTATCAGATGGCTCCCTTTATACCTGGAGGAAGAGCAGAACTGCCCACCCCACAAGTTAGAGTCCTCTATCCAATTGTATGCTCCAAGATGAGAGCTGCAACAACTGTGGAGAGAAGAGCCACACCAAGTGGTTTCGCTTTACTGCCGTGTTCTAATAAATTAAGTGCTGCTTAGACAACATGAAGTTCTTTGAAAGTGTTAAGAAAAACTATCTAAATCAGCAAGGTAGGTTTGGTTCATAGTGTGGTTCTT